AGGGGGAAGTAATCTTTATTGCCATATGCACCATACATCAAAGGAAAACCAAACGAACTTCTGTGTGTAATGTTCCCTTGTGAAGGTCTTTTAAAGCATGAAATTCTCAAATTCTTTTAAAACATATGATACAACTTACCAGCCTTTTCAAGGGCAGCAGCCTGCTCTCTCATATGAGCCGATAAGACCTTTGCAATGCAATTGATTTTCTAAATACCACTCTATTCTTCAAAAGGACAAAAACATGAACAGAAACAAGTACTGGCCAATCCCTCCCACAGCTTGTGGGGATCATATGTCCATGGAACCAATACATGCAACAGAAAAATCCCAACCCACACGTGTATACACAAATATACCCCTACACACACATCATGTAAACCATGAAAATTAAGGAAGTTGAAGGCAAACAAGGCAATTAAAAAAAATATGAAGTACTCTTCAGAAAGTACTCCCAATCACGATATATAAATATGTTTTATGGAAAAGGAGGGGGGAAAACTGGCATTTTTTCAGAGTCCTGCAGAAGTCAATGGGGACTGTGAATTGAGGGATTTGGCTCAGGGGGAAAACTCAGAGAGGCACAAATTCAAATGCAATTTAGAATCTGACTTCCAAAAGCACATGAGGGTGTGAACAGAGCACAGGGCTCTTGCACCCTGGAGCTTTGTTGGTCTAATTTTGAAGCTCTGATTTGGTCTAAGCTGGATCCCAGCTGACCCACAGCACACAAGTGTCACCTGCTCCCGGTTGAGTTCCTCTTCATTTGATTGCTCATTAGTTCTATGTATAGTTAATAATGTTGACAAGGAATCTTTCCAGAAAATAAAAAGGGAACTATTCAGAAGAATCATTGAAGCTCATTGGTGATTTAGGCACAGATTTCAGAATTTGTGACCATGTTCCACAAGAGAAAAAAAACTTTGAGAGAGAGAAGAAAGGATACCACTCATCTCTCTCACGGTGATGAAAGGACAAAACAAAACGCAGGGGCCCGTGGGTGCGTGCCCATGAGCGCCCCTGAGGGGCTTGCTATGAGCAGGGAGCAGGCTGCTGTAAAACAGCAACCTCCTGTTTAGCAAAAGATTGGCAGGAGCATGTCTGTGCCCAGCAGGGGAGAGAATCCAGAGCGGAAGCCAAGAGCAAGACCTTGGGAGTAGGGAATGGGCGGGGCCAAAAGTAGTTGCCAGTGACAAAGATTCAACTATTTTGTTCTTTTGTGACATGCCCTACATCCACTCCCTTCCAAAATGACAGCAATTTGGGAGATATATTCTTCCACTGCATTTTAACTGAGGTCCTGCATCTGCCAACCAAATAAGTGATCTAATAATATAAATCCCCAGTTTGAATTGAAGCCAGCTATAAAATTAAATTTTAAAAAGGCATTTTACATGGCTTATTTACAGTTATACTTCTTCAAGAAGTGATTGTTACATGTCTATTTATCTTCCCCATCCCTCCCTTCCCGCCCTCAATCCCCACCCAAAGCAGGTAATTTTTTAAAAAATGAAACCAAAGAGAACACCAGAGATGAAGAATGGTGTGTGGAGTTTCATTTGCTCTTCCAAAAACAGCTGCCCGGTGGTGGGTTTGCCTCTTTGCTCTGAAGGCCAAGAAGCTCCAAAGGCCATTCGTAGGACAGGCTCTGGGGCAGGCCCACGGCGGATCACAGTTCCGCTTCCGGAGATTGTGGCTACGATGGACGTCGGGGTAGGAGACAGGGAGAAGAGCAGCAGGACAGACGTCTGTCTTGTGGAAATAGAAAGCTAGTCCTGATGAAAGAAGTTCCCGAGCTTACTCCCTCAATCCCAGCGGGTCCAACAGTGAAGGCATTTTGTGCGTGTACTCTGTTCACATTTTTCCTTGAACCCTGTGATCCTTCATTAGACACCGTCTTTCTAATTCTCTTCCTGTGTGGAGCCCCAGGACATCTCATCAGGCCGCTTTCTTGGTGGTGGTGGGTAAAGCAAACATACACTCCCTCCTCGCCTCAGTACTCGGTCACCTGAGCCAGCTCAGGTGTCAAGTTGACAGTAATGTTTTTATACAAGGCGTCGTATGTGATGTTTGCAAAGTAGTTCAAGTTGTTGAGGCCATCCAGCCCTTGCCGCTCTTTGGACCTTCTCAGCAGAGCATACCTGTGATGCAGAGAACAGAGGTGGCTCTGAGTGGGGTCCAACCTCCTCAGGACAGACAATGGAGCAGGAGAGGACACATGGTGGGTGAATGGCCATTCAGCTACTCTACACTAAATGTTATCATTAGAAACACCTCCTATTTCATGCCAGGTGCTTTACTTATTACAGATTTCATTAATGCAACCATCCCTTAAGCAAATGAGGAAACCAAGGCTCATGATGTTAAATGACTTGCCCAAGGTCACAGAATGGACAAGGGGGAGGTAAGATACTAACACATCGGACAGGAAAGTTCAGAGTCTGTATTCAGTGCCCTGTCCCTCCCATGAAGACAGAGTTCATGCAATCAGAATCGGCTCTCCGGAGACCAGTCCTCTCCCCCAGTTAACAAAAGACAGAGACACCCTTGAAAATGCAGAGATGTCACTCTGTCCACATGCCCTGAGAGTCCGATCTGGGATTTACTTATTGAAAGCAAAGAGGTATTAAAGCAACTGCAACCACACGCACAGAAGCTCAGGGACACCCCTCCAGGACTGGGGCTTGGAGGAAGGGTGCCAGCTCTGCTCTGTCACGGCAATGTAAGTCACAGAGACCTTTACCCCAGTAGGCTTTCCTCCAACTCTCTGAAGGCTGCAGAGGAGATTATAAAGCTTAAGATGTAGAAAGAGTGATTTCCTTAAAAGATCTTACAATCAAATTTTTCACCAATAGTCTGATTTCACCCTCAGACATTAGCCTCACAGTTAAATTAAAACATGTTTAGAAGTCCGGCCAGGCGTGGCTCAGCAGTTGAGCGTCAACCTAGGATTCAGGCGATTGGGGTTCAATTCCTGGTCAGGGCACATGCTGGGTTGCGGGCTTGATCCCAGGTCAGGGGTGTGCAGGAGGCAGCCGATCAATGACTCTCTCATCATTGATGTTTCTATCTATCTCTCTCTCTCTCTCTCTCTCCCTCTCCTTTCCTCTCTCTGAAATCAATAAAGATATATTAAAAAAATATATATGTTTGGAACTATAAAACAGCTGTCAGAACAGGACCTTGGAGAGAGGCTGGGGAGTAAGACGAGGGGCTATAATATGCTCTGGGACATCTGGAAATGCAGAGCATAGAGGATATTTGTAAGAGGAATAAATAAATGACACCAACCTTCCTAGAAATTGGACTTCTCCTCGATGGTGATGAGGAATGGACTTGTACTTCCCTGTGTCACCTTCTGGCCGGCTCACAGAATAGCCTGCATTCTGTACTCTGTCCAAGACAAAGAGGATGGGCTTTTAGATAAAGTGATCAAGTCCTATAGGTGACCAAACGGAGGCCAAGGTTAAGAAACACCAAGTTGAACAACAGAACTTCCTCTGCATCTAAGTATTTAAATTGCCTATACCCTCTGGATAAGTTCATGGTTTTAGAAAAGAAATCAACAATACAAAAAAATTTTGGGAAAAAAAAAATTCAAAATGAAGTTCAAAATTCTTGAGGGTTAAAGTTTGACACAGGTTCTCAGTGACAAGTCCAAGAGTGGGTGCCCCTGGCAGACAAGTACAGCCACTCCCTCTTGCCAGCTTGCTTGGGTCCTATCAGAAATACCTTCTCATGGGCAGACAGCACCTTTCCCTTCCACAAGCTACCATAAAGCAACCCAGCAAAGTCAGAGTTGCTATGCATTTTCCCTGCTTAGGTAGAAATTATGTCTCTGCTCACCTCCCCCATCACTACGGAGATGAAGGAATTTACATGACAGTCTCCAGATGTAAAACATCACAATTATGAAAAGTCACTGTGAGGGAGCCAGCATACGGAGGAGGTGTTCAGGATATTATCCTACATGATAAAGATACGATTTCCCAGCCAGACTTACTGGAAACTTAACAGGGCTCTAAGGAATCATTAATAGACTTTGCAGTCTATGGGAAATTTACATTCATTTTCATATTATTTCAATATCCTCCTGACTCCCAATTATACTCTTATTTGATAAGTACACATGGAATGCCCACTGTGTGCCTGGAATTGTGCAGGGTGCTGAGGGGAAACCAGCACAGCTCCTGCGCTTGAACTGCACCCTCTCCTAAGCTGGGGAGAGAGAGAGATGAGAATGGTGACAGATGTTCTGGGAGAGACTGGATTCAAGGACCAGCCAAACCAGTGAAGTGTATGGGAGAGCTTTTCATCCTTTCTAGGTTCCTAAGAAACTCAAACTAAAAGGATGAGATGCCATTTGTACCTATCAGATTGAGCAAAAATTGTCTGGAGCTGGGTTGTCCAGTGTAGTAGCCATGACCCATTTGTGGCTATTTAAGGGCTAAAATGTAGCCAAAATTTAAAAGGTCGTTTATCTCCAATGTTGGCAGTGGTGTAAGAAAATGGGCACACGAATGCACCATTGGTTAGAATCTTTTTGCAATCTTTTTTGAAGGAAAATTTGGCAATAACTATCAAAATTTAAAGTGCGTTTATTTCTTGACTCTAGTTCCACAACTAGGAATTTAATCTAAAGAAATATTTGCACATGTGAACAAAGGATGTTCAAAATTGTAAATGACAACAGGAGAGGATTAAAGTAAATTATTTTATATGTGGAGAAAGGAATATTATGCAGTTATTAAAAATAATGAAGCAGTTCTCACTATATTAAAGTGGTGGGAGGTGGGAAGGGATGTGCCTGAGTTACTTCTATATGAACAGAAAGAAGCCCAGAAATAAACAGCTTGTTAAAATGGCTACTTCCTGGGAATGAAATAGGATGGCAACTGGGATTGACTTACACTCTTTGGTTTATGTATTTTTGTATCATACGAATTTTTACCAACAAATATTACTTTGTAATTAACAGCTAACACATACTTTCTTTTTTTAAACCAAGCTAAAAGTAAACAGATACAAGGTGGCAATTCTTTTGCATATTCATTCCTTATTAAGTTACTACACTACTCACAGGATTGTTCACACAAACTGGTATAATACAAGCCTTATCTGATGGCACGGATAAATCTGTGTGCACATCACTAACATTCTACCTCTGGTTTAGGGAGGTTTCAGTGAAATGTGCTATGAGTAGAAAGCACACACCAGATTTTGAAGATTTGGTAAATAAAAGGGAATGTAAAATATTTCATTAACATTTTATATTGATTACATGTTGAAATAATATTATTTTGGATACATTATGATAAATACATTAACATATTTTATTGCCATATTAAAAATTAATTTGACCTTCTTTTTAACTGTTTGAAACATGGCTACTAGAACATTTTAAATTACATACACGGCTTACATTCTATTTGTACTGGACAGAACTGTCTGGAGAGTCTAAAGGAGCATTTCTAGAAGACCCCGGAAGGACAGTACCTGTTCCACAGGTCGTCGTCTTCTCCACCCCAACCCCAGAAAGCATTAGGAAAGCCATTGATTTTCCGAAACTGTTCCACTGTTAAGCCGCTCACTCCACCGAAGAACTCAGTATAAGGAAGCCTAAAAGGAGATGGAGAGCATCAGTCATCTGTGCATGAAAGGGTGACTTTTTTCTAGAACAGGCCAACTCACTGGAGAACTTTGACTTAAGTAAAACAATGCTCTCTGTGCTACTGCCATGAACCATCTGAAATTGATTCCTCATGCTGAGATGCATCAACCTGAGTAGCTCATTGAATATTTTTTATAACAGCTTTACTGAGACATAATTGACATGCCATGTAATTCACTCATTTCATTTCAAGTGCATAATTCAAAGACTTTCAGTATATTCACAAGAGTTGTGCAACCATGACCACAATCAATTTTAACACATTTCATTACAACCAAAAGAAGCCTTGTACCCATCAGCAGTCCTCTTCATTTCCCCCAACTCCCCCACACAACCACTATTCTCCTTCCTGTTACTATATGTTTGCCTATTCGGGATATTTCATATAAATGAAATCATGTAATATGTTGTCTCTTGTAACTAGTTTCTTTCACTTAGCATGTTTCCAAGGTTCATCCATGTGTTGCATATATCAGTACTTCATTCCTTCATACTGACAAATAGTATTCCACTGTGTGGATCTATCACATTTCGTTTACCCATTCATCAGCTGATGGACGTTTGGGTTGGAGCTAACTGGATTTGCCATCTTTGCATCTCTCACTATCCTCTTAAATTTAACTTCTTTAATTAAGAAGAAATGATACTCACAGATACATATACTTATCCAATTTAGTTGCAAAATGCCGTGGCATTTGTCCACATCCATAGTAGTTACGATCACTTTCTGGTATGTGATCCACGTCATGAAAAATAAGACAGTCCCAGTCCAAATCCTTCATTGCTTCTTGAAAACCGACATTAAAAAGCATGGCTCGATTAAAGGGTTGGGTGCCAACCTAAAAGAAGCAGAACTTTATTTTTAAAAGGACTCTTGAAGCAAGATCGCTGCTGCCTCAGCTCTGCCTAAAGGAAAGCTTATTGAAACCAACTGGAAAAGCCCACTGGGCCAGAAGTGAGACAGATCCAGCACCACTCATCACTGACTCACAAGCCATCTGACCTCTAGCCTCGGATTTCCTTAGAGATAAAAGGAGTAATAATGATAAACCCAAGCTTCTCTCTCCCAAGGCTGTGGTAAAGGCAGACAGCATTTAGATTATCCAGCCCCATGAAAGGAAGAACACACTGCTATTTCTACTTACTGCTCCTTATCATAAGGGGAATTTCCTGAAGCCTGAAGATACCACCCAAAGCAACTCTAGCAAAGCCACCGTACAAGAGGCCTTTGTTCAGGGTAAACAAAGTTCCACCCTGGACGCAAATCTGTGGTATTGACTGAGCAACATTTCAAAGAGGAGAAAAAAATTGCTCTCTGTTCCCCCTCCCAACTCAGGGTGACTCAATCATAAGATTTCAGTTTTACTGGCTCTTCACACCAAAGATGGATTAGCTTGGAGCACTCTAAAAACTGCTGCCTCAGAAGAGAAAGGGTAGGAAAGAAAGGACTGACAACTCACTTGCTCGATTACATAAAATGCAAACCGCAGGCGCTGGCGCTGAAGCATGGGAATCAGGTGTCTGAGCAGGACTGGGAGGTGCTCGTGGCGGTTCCGGAACGGGATAAGGATTGCCACCTGGAGTGGGTCAAGCAAAAGAGGCCGCCCTGTTAGTCCCCTCGACTTCTGCAGAATCAGTGACCAGCTCTTGGGGAGTAAGGCTGGGAGGCTGCCTTGTCCTCAGCTTCCTCTAAAGGAAGGCCGACCCTGGAAGTCAGAGGACCTTGTTCTCACACACACCATGCTGTGCACATGGTGGGCCTGCTGAATGAACTCATTCTAGACCACAGCCCAGAGGAAGACCTATCTATCTATATCCACAGATATGTAAACATACAACTAAAATACGCTTCAAAAACCAGTACTTCCCCATACAACGTGCAATGCACTGTAACATAGATGTATTTATTTATGATGGTCATTAAACTGATTTTATATTCTAGCAACGGGCTAGAAGCACTGATCTGTTCCGCCTCTGCTTGGGTCACTGCTGCACCACAGACATCTCACAGGGCTGGAACAGAGCAAGCACTTAAACATTCTCAGTGTTAGGCGAGCTGTCTCGGGTTTTTACTTTACTAAACTTCGTGCGAATAAGGCATGAAGCACTGAATTTGTGAAGATGGCTTCTGTAAATGTAAGAGACCTACTAATGCCACCCCTGCTTAGCCGACAGTTCAGTAAGGAAGACAAAAGGGTTGAAATGATGCAAATTTCTGGCTACAGGAGAGGACTCAGGGAAAACATATTCTCCAAAGTATTTCCATCAAATGCAAATACTTTTCATCAGGTAGCAGGAAGCAAATTACAAAATGTCATAATCAGTGCATCCTGCGGTCATTGGAAACAATGGCAAGTCCCAGGTGGGCTTCCCAGCGCTTCAGGTCTGACGCCACAACCTACCTTCCATCGGGGCACGCAATCGGAAGGCATCCAGTGACCTCCAAGCTTGATGGCTGGGTCTTTGGAGAAGACTTCATGAATGGTATCCATTCCGATTTCACTCATGTTTATGTCTATTGGGCCCTCTGAACAGAGAGAGAAAAAATTAAGAGGCCAGAAAATGGTAGGTTCTTTCCCCTATGTCCAGGGTTTTACTCTCTGGATAAGTTCAATGCTTTTTCCAACTCAGTGCATTTCAGGCTATCACTATTACTGCAGCAAATCAAGAAACTAGAGTTTTGCTTCTGCCTAGGGTGTAGAAAGAAGTTAAAACCAAGTAAGACAGCAGCTGAACTTCTCAAAGAGGAAGGAGAAACGAGGCTGAGCTTGGAGCCATCTCTGTGTGCTCCTGAGGCAAGTACAGACGCACTGTCCCAGCTGATTTCTCAGTGACCTGACTGGTCATGTCCAAACTCAGAACACACATCATCTTACTTAAGCAGCAGAACTGTCTCAGCTACAGAGAAGGTGTAACACTTTGTTACCACTGCTTTAGACTGCACATGGGATTCCAAGAAAGAAGGAAAGAAGAAAAGATCCAAGAATTTTTTAAACTAACACTCTGTTAAGAAAATAACGTCTCTCGTATCAAACAAGTTATAATCAGCGTGCTCGCTGCCTATAGTTTCTCTAGGATGTCCTAACAGATCCCACGTTACAAATGAGGGTGCGTGTGCAAAGAAAGGGAAACATGTAGAAAATGGCACCCAGATCATGGGCAACTTTGCAGAGGGGCTGAGAAGGAGTCAGGACACAAGTAACTTTCACAGTCCCCGTTTCCAACGGCAGGGCGGCGTTTACGTTCTCTATATAGGCAGACACGTTGCGAGAGCAAGAACACTCGCCCTCTTGCTTTAACCAAATAAAAAGACAGCAGTTTCAAAAGTAGAGGCAAATAAGCAAGAGCTCTACTCACTCATGGAAGGGAGCCTTTCAGGACAGGTATGATTTGCAAAGTAGGTGAAGTCTTCAGGAAGAAAAGTTGTGGTTTGCAGGAAGGTTTCGCTGTGGTTCAAGTCAAGAAGATAATCTAGAGAGGTAAGAACAAAAGGCAACTCAGACCGGTACATGGGATCAAGCCTGCAATTCTCGGATGTCTACCAAATAAGTTTTTTTCTTAGACATCATTTTTTGTGAAGCAGGACTCTGGACTAGCTCTTCACTGCAGCCACAAATTTGAATCCATCAATAAAAATGTTAACCAGATGATACTATTTTAACCAGTGTTTCTACTTTTAGTGATATTACAGCTTTATATGCACTCAGGTTACAGTAAAATAACTCCACAATGTAATTATAAAAACAGCACCCCCCCAATACCTTATTCTCTAAAGGAACTATTCTCACTTCTGTTAGCCAGCTACTTTGTTAGTGGCCCCCATTCGCCTACACAGTTCATCGTGACATTTCCGTTTCGAGTCTTACCTGCTGACTTCCCACTTTGGGGAATGATGAGGATTTCCCTCCCTTTCTCCCCTGCCCCACCACACACATACCATTTCCACCCTCCAGTCTCCCAACACTCACATATGATAACTGGTTATCGATACTGTTCATAGCCGAGAAATGTGGAAAGTTATGATTACTTTTCCGTCCTTTCCTGTATATATTTTTCCCTGAGTGACCCGTGTTTTTCTGTTTGCCAAGTTTTGTGTGGCGTAATGACTGACTCAACACCACGCCTTTACCACTGCGTTTCTCCTTGAGCCATTCACGGGCATCGGGGGTGCTCTCAACTTCATCCCCCAAAGGTCATGCCTTCTGATCCGCTCCAACTTGGAGGCCTTTCCTTTCTGCCTGACGTGCAGATGCTATCTTCGGACCTTCCTGCCTCGGGGTCCCGGAGATTGCTTTCATCGCTTTACAATATGGAACCTCATTTTCCCCAAGTTCAGTCTCTCCCTTTTTCTCGCCTAAAGGAACACATCCTTAAAGTAGCTTCCTATGAAGGGGAAATGGGAGTGATTTTGAAACCCTGTATATCTGGTTGTTACTCTTCCTCACTTGACTCCTAAGTTGGTTGGTTTATAGAATTCTTGGACGGAAATAATTTTCCGTAAGAGCTGTGAAGGTGCTGTCCCACTGCTTCTAGATTCCACTGTGTCTGTTAAGTCCAAAGCCATTCCAGTCCCTGATCTTTGTCAAAGGTGACCAATACTGTCTTTCTGGAAGTGTAAAGAACTTTCTCTTTGTTCAGGAAATTTCACATTGGTAAAAATTGGTGCCTTGTTAGGGGTCTGTTTTACCCACTGTTGACTGTACGTAGCCATTTTGCTACTCTACCAATTTCCTGAATTTTACCCAGCCCTTCTTTTAATGATCATTTCTGCTATTATATTTTTAACTTCAAAGAGTCCTTTTTATTTTCTGAATGTTCATTTCTTACAGTGTATTATTGTTTCATATTTGTTATCCTTTTTTGCTTATCCTTGAGAATGTATGTTTTTAATATTCTCCTAGCACAGTCCGTTTCTTCCAATTCACCGCTTCTTGTTTGTTTTGATCCCTAGCAATAGCAATCCTTGGTCTTCTGCTGATATATATATATATATATATATATATATATATATAAGTATATATACATATTTTTAAATTTATTATTATTTTTAAAAATATATGTCTATTGATTTCAGAGAGAGGAAGGGAGAGATACAAACATCAATGGTGAGAGAGTCACTTAACGGCTGCCTCCTGAACGCCCCCTACTGGGAATTGAGCCCGCAACCCAGGCCTGAGCCCTGACCGGGAACCGAACCACGATCTCCTGGATCACAGGCCAGTGCTCAACCCCGGAGCCACGCCGGCCAGGCTCTGCTGATATTTGAGTAGGGCACTAATCAGCTAACTAAAAGGGTGTGGACTGAGGTTCTTCATCATAGGGTGTTCTGGCCAGAAGTTTGGTTTAGAAACTTCCAGCATCAATATCGTTAGGTCTTTCCTCTTGGTCTGGTCACATCCCCAGAGAAATCTATTCTAATTTCCTGCCAGAATTGTACAGTCTTGACTACAAGTATCCCAGAACTGAGGACACCTAAAACAAGCTAGGTGACCCCAAGTTGAAGGACACCCTGTTTTACCATCTTTGAGTGTTATCAAGTCTCTAGACCTTTGCCAAGATGGGGACAGGGATCTGGGCATCTGACTGCTTTTCAAATAGCTTTGAACCAACCTTTATCTAACTTGCTACCTTTATTCTTATCTCCAAAACTACTTAATATTGCCAATGCATGAGCTTCTGGAAGATTCTGGGTATAAACTGGGGTGATGGCTTTCCCTGCTGCCACATTAGCAGTCAAGTTTGTGGGGTGTCTGTAAAGTCCTTATCATTGGTCCATCTGTTTTCCCACTTCCAAAAGTTTTTGCTGTGGTCTCCTTTCTTGTTCTCTTCATTCCTAAGGGCTTATAACATTACATGTGTACACACATGCGCGCGCCCAGTTACTGTCATTTAGTGAGATTTAAGGGTGCAAAGCAGACGCCTTATTCCTAGGAGACTGTATGAAGGAAGCCCCTCTAACCTCTTATTTTTTTTACAGATAAGGAAACTGAGGCACCATGTACACAACTTGTACAAGGAGACTTGGCTTTATATGACAAAGACCCAACTAAACTCTGGTCGGCGATCTTTCTATTATACTGCACTATTTTTTCAGAGTATTACAATCTCTCTCACCAGTCCTTTTGGATTCATGCTGATTCTATGAACATTAAAACTTCCTATTCAAATTCACTTCACAACATGAAAGTCCAGAATCTTCAACTCAGATTTTTAAAAAATAATTGCCGATAGGTAATAATCATTCAATCAACCTAGCTAGTAATTTTTTGTAGTCCAGTGGTTTTTATTTTCATTTTTTAAAAATTTATCTTTATTGTTGAGAGTATTACAGATGCACTATGAGATGGTTTCCAAGAATCAAACTGCTAATACAGTGAATCCTTTTATATAGGCACATGGCTGCCTACTCTACAAGTACTCAGAGGACAAAACTCAATGAGGCAACTTGGAGAGAATATTAACAGTCTCTTAACAGGGGAAGAAAGAAACAGAACACTTTCTGTCCTTTTTAGTTGTAGCTTTCCTGAAGGACACTAAGCCTGCATTTATATAAAAACTTAAGCCAAGTCAGCATTAACTCCAAAGGTAAAATTATTTATACAGAAATTAGCCCAAAGTCCTCATTCACACATGCAAACCTGTCCTAAGTTGAGCCTTTTCTGAAGGTATTAACACTTCAGAAAGCTACGCCAAGGACCTTCTATGCCCATCATTACTCTGGATGATTCTGATTTTGCTTCTTAATCACACACACATACTTCTCTTTAAAATAGCATCACGGTAATTACATCTGAAAGGCAAAGAAATCCCCAAAGGTATTATAATGAGCATTTTCATAAGCAAATCAACAAAAAAAAGAATAATACTTCTGGGCAATGACAGAACTAAGCCTTGGAGCTACAATCTAAACAGGAAGTAAAAACAAAACACAAAAAAACAAAAATACATGTAGGAGAGGAGAAAAGATACGTTCTAACCTTAATGATCCTATTTGGGGGAAAGACACAGATAAATTCCTTTCTACTTCCTTCAAACTGTGATATACTAAGCCTGGTAGCAACTAGCACGGAATAAAACATGACAAAACAAAACACCACATATTTTCTTCTTCTGGTTACTAAATTAATAGTGTCATAAAAAAAAATATTCAAATACACAACTCCTAAGTGGAAGTTCAACATAGTAACTTGGCCCTACATCTTGGGGGGAAACCTCTGAAAACCCCTAATTTCCTCATTTCCAATTTTAAGTTGTATAGATAAAAATTTTAAAGAAGTGGAAGAGGCAGAGGATATTAATTGCTCTGGATATTAATTTACGGATATTAATTTACGACGTGGTAAAATTGCATGGTTATTGTGGGTCCTGGTCCTCCTGTCCAGCTGCCTGGAAATGGGTGGATTATACTGCAGATGCTTCTCAGGGGAACCAAACATCAAGGTCTACTCTTCCCAAGCAGGTACTTACTGAATGAGGGAACTGCTGAAAGAAAAAAAACAAGCTTGCGGAATGTCCATGGCCATGGTTTTATTTTTTCATTTAAATCTAATCTGTTTCAAATCAGGACATGCTCTTCCAGCAAGGGAGGCAGAAGGGCAAAGGCGGCAGCTGTGTTTTCATGTTTATAAAATGGGGAAACAACAGACATCCTACCTACCTCCAGATTCAAATGGCCTGCTATTCAACTTTATTCTATACCAGTGTTTCGGCAACTTTGGTTGCACGTTAGAATCATCTAGAAGCTTTAAAAACCATAATGCCCAGGCTATGCTCAGGCTAATTAAATAAGAACCTCTGGGGGCATGGTGTAGGTATCAGTATTTTTTTTAAAAAAATATCTTTATTGATTTCAGAGAGAGGAAGGGAGAGCGAGAGATAGAAAGAAACATCAATGATAAGAGTCATTGATCAAGCCCACAACCTGGGCATGTGGCCCAACCGGGAACTGAACCAAGATCTCCTGGATCCTAGGTCGATGCTCAACCACTGAGCCACGCCCGGCTGGGCGGTACCAGCATTTTTTAAAGCCCCCCCCTCCCCCCACACCTGCAAGGGATTCTAATGCAGTCATAGTTGACATGGCTAACAGTTACAATTGACACGGCTACCCCAATATGAGGTGTGGCAAAAATCTTTCTTCTTTTTTAAAAAATATATCTTTATTGATTTCAGAGAGAGGAAAGGAGAGAGCGAGAGAGAGAAGCATCAATGATGAGAGAGTCATTGATTGGCTGCCTCCTGCACACCCCTGACTGGGGATCAAGTCCGCAACCCGGGCATGTGTCCTGACCGGGAATCGAACCCCAATTGCCTGGATCCTACGTCAACGCTCAATCACTGAGCCACACCCAGCCAGGCAGCTTTCTTCTTTTTATTACCAAATCTACTTGAGCAGGGTCTGGCAAGTGCTCACCAAAAGATTTCAGAAAGAACCACCACTTTCCCCTCCCACTGAGGAAAAAAACAAACACTTGCCTCTCTGCTTTAAAAATGTAGAAATTTATATATGCTAGAAAGATGTCCTGTGGAATATAAAGAATTAGCATTCTTCAAGAGTTAGCATGCTTAAGGCTGACTACCCCTGCAGGAGAGCAGACATAAAGATGACTATGGACCGAGCATCTAAAAACCAGAGAGGAAGAGGTTGTGAGTATTTACTTCACTGAATATATCATAGAGTGCACTGGCAATGACTTCACTCATTTTATTTGCCTATGGCAACAGACCTGTTTTGAGTGATGTGGGTAACAGGACATTTTTCTGAGTATGTGGCTAGGAGGGGCTTCGGACCACAAGTGTGAGGGGTTTGTGTGCATGTGTGTAGAAAAATAAGAAATCTCCCTCTGGTAAGAAGTTACTGGTTAAGATGGCACCTGGAAATTCGTATTTAAGAATGAGAAATGCTAGGCCATCCAACTCCTCACCTCACCTATAAAACTAAATGGCGAGACTGGATGAACCCAGAGAATTCTCTTCTGATGTCAATATTCTTTTGCCTGTCTCCCTGTACTACTACTAGTAAGTTCTACGGATTCACAGTCTCACCCACCCATGGCTTTTAGTGCAATACGTCAGGCTTATTCCAGGCTCATAGTCTTGATCCCCCCGAAGAACATTCTTATTAGACAATCGCCACTTTAGCTTTCAAGGATAAAGAAAGCTAGCATTACTTAAATGTCACACTAAGCTTTTTAGCTACATTTGCTTAATGAAGGCCTTTGAATGTGGGTGTGTGTCATGGCACTACTTACAGGGTGGGGCAGGAGCTGGCAGGCGACCTTAGTCTGGGTTACTGTCCTCAAGCCCATAGCACTCCTGATGGGAGTGGCTGGGTCAGAGGTTGACAGTCATCTGGCTATCTGAGCAGCTTTAGGCCCAGAATCTCTCTCTGACTGTGCTAGGCAGAGAACTGCTTTGAAATGAAGAAAAATTGTAGGTTTTCATTGCATACACATCCAATGAAATGATAAATTTTTCTTTAATATTTACTCACTAAGGATGTGCCTATAACAGAAGCCAATCAACATGATAGTCTCAGAATTAGGCTACAACACTTAAAAAAATGTGTTTTCTTGTTATATCTATTCACTTGCACACTCAAAAATCATTTACAGAGAGTTTCCTATGTTCTAGGCTGTGTACAAGAAACTGAGGATACAAAGAAGATAGAGACTGTGAGGGCAATGCAGGGACTCAGAGATCAGCAAATCTCAACTCAACTGCTGCATCAAATCTTCTCAGCGCTGTACGCTCCAACTCCTTCATCCCTAAATGAGACAAGCAGTTACCTTACTGAGTTCTTGTGAAGATTCCATGGGGATAATTCAAGTAAAGTGGCTAGCATAATAACATAGCCCCCAGCAGCAACGGCTTCCAATTTATAAGGGAAATAACAGCACATTAAACACAAATTGGATGATTATTTCTACCAGAGGGATGATGGCAAGAATTTAGTGTTTGATAATTTGAGAAATACATGCAAAATCAAATAATAATGAGTCCCTGGATATGCCTTCCAAGGGTGCAAGTCACTTCTGAGCTCAGTTTTTAAGGAAAACCACCCCTCGGGGAATTAGTGAGATCCTGTGTTCAAGACCAGCAGCAGTGTAGGGATACAGTTCTGCTATGCGCTCCTCTAACCGCTCAAAGAGAACAGACTACCTCACTAGATGCCCAGAAGGAAGTCCTACCATCATCTAACCTTGGAGCGACATGATCGCCTGGACTGGATAAATGTCACGACAGCACAAATGTTCCTTTATCCAGAGTGAAACAGAGCAAAGAGCTCTGGAATGGCAGTCAAAGGGCCCCCTAGTTTTACCACACAACCTAAAGCAGGTTTGGGCAGGGTTTAGGGAAAGTCACATGATTAAGGCACTCCAACACTCCCAAGATGATTTGTACTACATGTGAAAAACAGAATATAAAATCCTGCCTATCTGACTGAGACATAGTCTAACCAGATCAGACAAAGTGTGTGGGATCATTTGTAAAACCTAATGCCACACAATGAATCAGGGAACAAAAATGTGCTCAGCCTTCTCTCATGACTTTGGGAACTGCAGGGATTCCTCTCCCAGGTATAGTTCAGAGCTCAAGCAATTTGTTCGGAGATCAGTTTGGCTAAAATGCCCTGAAAAGTCAATCACTTGCTCTTCGCAAACAAAAAGGAAGTACCAAAGCTTATCTGGCTTGCTAACTATAGTCCTTTGTTGCTGCTAAGCAGGACGGACTGATTGATAAATTAGGATGTGGTCAATTTTAAAGATTTAACTTCCCTTCCAGAGACAATGCTTTCTCTTGAGATCCCAAGCACCATAGAATAATTCTCATTTGCAATGTTTGCAAAGCCAATTTCACATTCTACAGTGAGCTGCGGACTACCTTAGAACTTACTACAGAAGGGAGAACTAATTTGAAGGAAATAATATTTTTTAAAATATACATATAAATCTATGTTGAGTGAAAACAGTAAGAAGCCATAGGAAAGCACATTAGTCCTCAGAGAAATAAGAGGCAAATCATGAATGCTTAGCAGAATAAAATCTCAGAATCTATTTTTAAAATGAAAACTATCCCTGGTTGGACTGGACAAGCCTCACGACAGTCCCATTTAACCACCTGGAAATACTTCTTTTGTTCAATTTTTGGAAGAGTTAAAAGGAGAGATATAAAAAAAGACAGTTTTTTCTCAAAGGTAAAGAACTCCATTATTTAGTCTTTTATAAAAATAGTCAAAACCATGACTCAGGAACAAGTTCTTACAATACATTTTAAGCAAGCCATCTAGCCTGTGTTCTTTCCTCCTCTTTATATAATTAGTGCTTATAAGATAATAAAAGCCACAGGTAAAAGTTCCAAAGATTGAGGCAGAAATGTTCACTCTGTGTCCACCACTGCGACGTTCAGCTGAACAGCCTAAAAAACTTTCTTCAAGGCTGAATGACTCTGACCACCAGACTCAGCCACAGAGCAGGAATTAAACCACAGGATGAAAACCACACCTGACTGGGGAAGGTAAACCAGGTGACCCAGTAAACTTCTTCCAGAAGCCGCTGTTTTAATTTGTGGAAACTGTCCCTGATGACATGATTATTATGAAATGAAAATTTGTTAATAACCATTCATGGACAATGAGTTCTACTGGGTGGAACGTATTCAAGTAGAGTCCAACAGGAAGAACAGTGTTGGAGCAACTCTTCCTGTGTGGCAACCAGGCTAGATTAGCACTGAAAACAATATGGAACATGGTCATCACCGTGTGTAAATGAAAAAGCAAAACAAACAAATCCCACAATACGAAGCCATAAACTAAGTATCAGGAAGTCCAAGCAAGTTGTTTTTCCTCACTGGCAGTACAAATACATTTTTTGAAATTACTTCCAGAAAAGCTTTTGCTGCTCCAGTTTTGCTAGCATCCTAACCTGTGCTTAAGCCGCCTACTGGGGGCAACTACACTGAAAAAAAGAGGTCTTGAAAGATTCTCCTCACGCTCCCCATCCCTGGAAAGTATTAGGTGAGAATATGGAATCATTTAGTCACGCTTAACATACTATTAGCAAAACAAACTAGGATTCATTTTGCAACAGCTTCTTTTTAGTAACAAGGTAAGGCTCAGCCAAACCTTCCATCTTTTACAATGCACTTTGTCCCATCAAAGATAATTATTTGAACCAAATTTTCCTCTCCTGGGAGGAGACATTCTAAGCAGACCACATCTTTACTAAAAATATACCTGAGTCATTTACGCTGCTATTCCTCTTGGCATAAGCGCTTCGAACCACCTGCTCATAAACCTGAGCACCTATTGTCCTCATGTTGTCCCGGATCAGAATGCCTTGAGCTTGCATCATGAAGAGGTAGGTGTTTACTGCAGAAAAGAGAAGGGAGAGGGGGAAAAGAGGTGAATTCAAAAGCAACCATTAAAACAAAACAAAACACACATAACTTTGGGTTTCTTTCGTTTTTTTTAATTTAACCTCTTTCAGCTCTAAAACCCTACAAATGCCGTTAACTCTTTTCCACACTGAGTTCAATGTTTTCAGGACACCAACATTCCTTGTGTAGCTAGTAGGACTTAGGGGAATTTCTGACAATACTCAGCAGTTTCAGAAAAACCATACATTTTAAAAATTATACTCCACCAGGTCTTCAAATATCCAGTCTGTGTTCTAGCAAGGTAACAATAAAAAAGACCTTTATGGATCAATTAACAGACCTTTTAAAAGATCTCTGATCTCACATATATGCATAACCCATAGACACAGACAACAGTGTGGTGATGGCCAGAGGGAAGGGGGTACCAGGGGCTGGGGGGAGAGGCAAAATGGTGACATCTGTAATAGTGCCAACAATAGATAGGAAGGGAGGGAGGGAATTCAACTTCAGTTCAGGCCCAGAGATTATTTGATCCCATTGATTATATCACGCATTCTGATTTTAGGGATGTTAAAATGTGAGAATAATGTGCATCTAAGAATTGATGAAGAACAGTAATAATAATGATTTTTATGACTAACATATTAACATAATTTTATATAATAATTATTCTTTGTCTCTCTGGGGACAGTATAATGTTTCTCAACCTTTTGTAAAGTATAAATAAAAGCATCTTTAACAAAACCTCTCCGATCTCTTTAATTTACCTTCTCAATACTCATAGCTATATACAGAAAATGGAAACCACTGACTGCTCTGCTTAATGAAACCCTCAGATCTAGGTCTGGTCTTGGCAACCTTTTGAAAGTGGTAGACTAAGACTCCAGCTACTTTTCTTTGGAGTATTTGGAAAGAAAAAGAAAGTAATCAAAGAATGTAAGCAGCACTCACTACCACCCACCTTGGCCCCAACATCTTAAGCAATGGGGAAAAGCAGGGGGCTACGTTCAAGTGTCAGCTGAAACATATTCACTTTGAATTATACAATATCAAATTATGATACTGTACACCTAAAACTTAAATAATGTTATACACATCAGTTATACCTTAATAAAAACAGAACAAAACAAAATCATATTCTTAACAAATGATTATTCAGGTTAACTGCCCGATCATTGTCATTTTGGAAAAGTGAGCTCCACTGGATTTTCTTTAAGTGTCTCTATGATACGAAACTCAGAGATCACATATAGAAGTGATTATAATTCCTGTATTCCACTTGCGACCTCTATTTTCAAGAAATTGTAAGCTTTAAAAATATAGCTTCTTAACCAGCCTATTTAATTTCCTCACCTTCCTCTCACCACTGTGAAAGGGGGGGTGTCTCACAGGGTGGCACGTTTACAAATCTAAACTCTGGTGTGTGTCAGGATCCTCTGAACACTTGGCTGACTTCCAACCAGGCTCCAGGCAGGTAGTCAATGGAGAGCTTGAACCACTCCTCCAGATTCAATATACATGGCCTCCAGCTGGCCTGGCTCTTCAACTAGATATATTTCGTGGACACAGTTTCAACATTATTATCACAGTGTCCTGTATATAATGGGCGGTAAATAACTAAATGGGTGAAGTTTAAAAGTCAATTTACTTTATTTCAAGCTTGTGTGGTGCTTGTGCTGGTGATGGGAATGGAGATCAGGACTTGACAACTGGCATAATATTGAAAACCTCAGGCGGCCTACATTAAACAGGGACATAAAATCTTTCAAGGGATTTCAAATCACCTCTAAGGTATATCCTGAGCCATAAAATAATAAACAAAATAAGTCAATGTTCAGAATACTTTCAGAAATGAAGCAGCACTTTCAAATTAGGTGAGTTGACTGTAAGGCAACCACATGCTTAACTTGCGGCATTGGCAGAGATCAGTTCAGATAGTTACTGTTCTCTGTAGCTGGACAATGTTACAAAAAAAAGCTTCAAATCCTTAAACAAGTGTAATTCTGTGAAGCCTCTGAAAACATGAGTTATATTTCATTTTCTGTTTACAGCAGATAGCATGGTGCCTGGTCACAGTTGGTAGGCAGTCCATAAATATCTGTTAAACATAAGATTTCAACTTCATCCAATATCAAATTTCTAAAGTAGTTCTGTGGTATTTTTTTTATCACTTGGGCTAGAGAATATATACATTATACATATTATATATGATTGCCCTGAAATCCTCCCATTCCCAACATACTACAAAACCAGTTGTCTTCAATAACCACCACCACAACAAAAGTATTGCCTGGCTGGCATGGTTCAGTGGTTGAGCATCGACCTAGGATCCAGGAGATCGAGGTTCAATTCCCAGTCAGGACTCATGCCCGGGTTGCGGGCTCGATCCCCAGTTGGGGGCATGCAGAAGGCAGCCAATCAATGACTCTTTCATCATTGAGGTTTCTCTCTCTCTCTCTCTCTCTCTCTCTCTCTCTCTCTCTCTCTCTCTCTCCCCTCCTCTCCCTTCCTCTCTCTGAAATCAATAAAGACATTTTTTTAAAAAAAAGTATTCATTGAACATTACATGTAAAGCTATTAGGCACTGCAAAAAATACACTACCTCCTTCCCCACAAATTTCACAATCTTTTCAGCAAAGAACACTATAGTTAAGCCTCTCTTTTAAATTCTCTCCCTTTCTTAGTTCTAGGATCCCAACTGCAGGATTACTCTAAGGCAGTACTCAAACTCTGTGCTGCTGTCTCCCAGACAGCTTTCGAAAGCCTGCTTCCTGGGCCCCACCCCCTCTGATTCAGTGTGTGAGAGCGGTGGTGAAGACTTGCACTTGTAACAAGCTTACAGGTGATACAATGGGGTTGGTCTGAGGACCACATTTCCAGAATCACAGTTCTAGGGAACTTCAGCTACATAAAAAATAATAGTAAGTAATATTTACTGAGCAAGTAATTCTATAATTCTTTATCTCACTTAATCATCATAATTATCTTAGGAGGAAAGTAATCCAATTTACAGTCAACTTCTAGGCTTTGGTTTCTCCACATAGGTCAACAGTGAAATGGACTTGAATCAGGTGTACCTATGCTCTAACCATTAAGCTATTTAAGACCTTGCTCACCTATGTTCTAGCCACAATCTCCTCAAAGATGTCAAGCACCCTGATGGTTTAAATAATTACTCTTAAAGAGATAGCTCTCAAATCTTTATCTCTTACACAAAGCTGTCTGATGAATTTTTCTTAATTATAGATTTATCCACACTGCTACTGCTCAGAAGCCTTCTATATTTCTTGCCTTCATCCTTGGGCTCCTGCTGACCTGCAGTGTTTCTGTTCTTTCTGCTATGCAAACCTTATTAATCCTTCAAACCCCAGTTTACATACTTCTCCAGTCTCCCCTGCTTCTCGAATCTCTGTAGTTACAGATTATAAAAAATGAGCCTTTGTTTATATTTTCTCTTAGTTTGCTAACAACTATCTCATGTGTCTGTCAGTCTTGTCATTCAACTAACAAACTTAAACCACATCTTATTACTGCTTTTCCTAATTATCCACAGGAATGAGCACAATGCTGAAAAAATGAAAGGCAGAGGAAATAAATTTTACAAAACAAAAGAAAAAAATCACAAATTTATAGACTTGGGATTGGATGGGATTTTAAAGAACACTTTTCAAAAACATCTAATGCTTTTACACCATCCAAAAACTATGCCTTCCAAGAACAGAGTCAGCATGTAAAATACAGCCATCATCCAAGAAAATTTTACTTTGGGTGGGGTCCAAAATGTTTCCCAGTCACTTTTACCCACTGGTTCTCATTCTGCCCCTTGACAGACCAGTCAAATCCCTTTCCCCCCACTTGAAATATTTTCAATCTCCCTCACACCCACCCAATCACCTTCACCTCTATCCTACCGAACCGCCCCCATACCCCAAGCCAGACAGCCTCACCTCCTTCGAGGGCTCCTCCCATGGTATCATCACACGTCCCTCCCCATCCTGTCTGCTCTCCTATGGATATTGCCCCTGTAGCCCACACTTCACATAGGGCGGTGCCCATGCTGGCAGAGTGGACCCGGTGCAGTCTGATGGGTCCAGAAACAAGCAGAATTACCAGCAGTCCTGTTCCATCTGTTACCAAAGCACTATCAACTCGAGCCCCCTCTTGGATCCACAATTCATAAATAACTCTAGACCAAAGAAATTCTCCAACATAGATGTTCAATTACCTAACCT